TGTGTGTGTGTGTGTGTGTGTGTGTGTGTGTGTGTGTGTGTGTGTGTGTGTGTGTGTGTGTGTGTGTGTGCGTGGCTGTCTGGCTGATCGACCATTTCAGGAACTTGGAGGTGGCCATGGACGATCAACCATCTACGGCATTACTGCTAAATTTGACAGGACAGTACTGTCTGTACGATCACTTTCAAGTGCTGGATCAGCTTGATCATCTAGATGAAGAACAACAAGGCTTGGAATGACAGATGGGACTACAGAGACAGCAGCAGATCAGATGCACGCTCAGCAACTTTCTTCTAAGTGAGTTAAAGTTAGAGGCAGATCAGTAAAGACCAGACAAAACGAGTGAAGACAAGTTAGGCAAAGACAAGTCAAAAGTGGAATCAATAGAATTGAATGTTTGAACTCGAATCCGAGAATGACACAGATCAGAGCAATCAGATGCACAGTCAGCAACTTGAAGAGACGTGAAGACAAGTGAAGACAAGTGGAAAGTGGAACAAGTTGAATGGAAAGCAATGACAACCTTATTCTTCCTCATCCTATTCAGTCCTCTCTGCTTGTGTGAATCCCAACGAAGGAACTGTTACGATACTGGCCAATTTCGAAGTACAAATTCACGAGAAAGCACAATGCCGTCCAATTGCAAAAAGAAATGAATGAACTTGAGAGGAGAGAGAGGGAAAGACGAAGAAGAAGAAGAAAGAAAGAAGAAGAAAAAAAAAAAAAAAAAGAAAGAAAGAAAGAAGAAGAAGAAGATGCACACCAGCAAAGACCAATGATAATTCCCCTTCCTCTTGCCAACCAATCTCCTCCTCCTTTTCTCCTCCCCTCTCTATTCAAACATTAAATAGTAAGAATGATGGTGAATGGCCAAACCAGAATCAATGTCCGAATCCCTCGTCTACTGCAGGCACAAACATGAGGTCCACCTTAGCCATGGCGCTCCTCTCCGTCCTCCTCATGAAGGCCGAGGCTATGGTGAACTACTAGGGCCTTGCCCTGATGTGCAAAAGACAAAACGAAGCAGCTATGGCTGCTCCCACTCAGGCCGCCATGCCTGACTCTGCCCCGAAGCTTCTTGATGCCGATCTACGCCAACAGGGGTCTGCCAGATGCAGTGCCGACGAAGGTGATGAAGATGGTGTCCACCATGGCCAGGTAAGTACCCCTGGCGCTTCTCGCCCCAAGCCCCCTTCTTCCTCCTCCTCCAGCCCGAGCTCTTCCACCATAGCCAAGGTGGAGAGCTGGGTGCTCCATCTTCCCCAGCAGCGCTGCTCGAGACTAGTGCTGCACTGCTGCTCCACCACGTGCTCCAGCAGCGTGTGGTCCAAACTTGCACGCAGCAAATGAGGAGGAGCACTTTGCTCCTCCTGGAGATATAGCGGCCAACTTGCCTCTTGGGTGGTGACTTCCAGGCCGCACGGCCCCCAAGCAACCGGTACCTCCTCCCTTTTGGAGGGAAACATCATTGCAGACTCTGATATCGCCCGCACAGGCCCTAGACTCAGACGAATTTGGACTGGTACCCGACTAGACCAAGCCTACAACTACTGGGCCTCTGAAAATGCCAACTTTTGTCTTCTTCTGCTCGGCCTCCAGACCCCGACACATCTACCGCTACTTGAGTGGTACCGGCCTACCTACTACTTGACTGTTTTCCCCACTGCAACCCTGAATGTCACGGCCAGAGGTATGTACCGGCCCTACTGGGCCTCCCAAGCAAGCAAGTACCCTTTCAGGTCACACACACACTCAAGCCGTCAAGCACTCAGACCTGTCTCTTATACACATCTAGATGTGTATAAGAGACAGACCTACTACTTGACTGTTTTCCCCACTGCAACCCTGAATGTCACGGCCAGAGGTATGTACCGGCCCTACTGGGCCTCCCAAGCAAGCAAGTACCCTTTCAGGTCACACACACACTCAAGCCGTCAAGCACTCAGACAGGCACGCAAGCCAGCAAGCACGCACACACAGACTTAGAAAACTCAGCAGAAAGCAGGAATCTCAGCAAGGCATTCATTCCAGCGGCAAAACTCAGAAATCAGCTGTGTTCTCAGTCCGTGTTTGGGCAGGTCTATCAGGATCCGCACACTGCAGCAAGAGCAAAATACCGGCTTGACTATGTCAAATGCAGCACGTGGGCAAAGAGTATGAAAGACCTGATGACACATCTCAGCAATCTATTTGTCACACCCGGCTTCGAGATGACAGCACAATCATGTCTAGATGTTGTCAAAGGCACGGTACCCTCGACCATTACTAGTCGTCTTGGGCTAGTACTCGACGAATATGCAGATTGGCTTTCCCTCGTGAAGGACGTAGTCAGGCCAGAGGCACAAGACCTGTTCCACGCAGCAGGTAGCGACAAGAAGACCTTTGGTCGCAGACGACATGGAGGCAGCAACCGTTTTGCATCACACGATGTGCTAGAGTTCGATGATCAGGCTGGTGCAGATGGTTCTACTCTTGGTGACGATCAAGAGCAAGATGCTGACCTGGCGTGTTCTTTGGCTTACGAGTTTGAACTACACATGATCATGAATCAATGAATGCCTTTAAAGTTTTAAAAGACTGCCTTCAAGAGTAAGGGGCCAAGGAACTCAGTAAAGAGCAATACTAACACCATTCACCTCCCCAAAGGAGCAAAGATTCCACCCAAACCGGAGGATCTTGCCACAAAACCATGGGTAGATATCCGGATTAGTGAAAGTGAGTGGAAACACAGGATAAAGAAAGGGGTTTGCCTACATTGCACCAAATTGGGACATTCAGTCCAATAGTGTTTCAGATTGCAGCAGGAAAACCAGCAAAGACAGTAGAGATATTATCAACACACTCTACAGAAGGAGAGGCTGAACCAGTAACTGCAGGTCCTTCTACGGACTCTGATCCCACTCAACAATCCTTTCTTGAGACCCCATCTGATGTTGATTCCAAGGCTGAGAAACTGCATATCCTCTACAAGGAGCCTTAGGTGGAGTTGGAAGACATTGACTTTCATGCTCTCTTGCTGCGCTAGGCTCAGATGAAGCAAGAGTGCGCGTAGGGGAAAACAAAGTTGATCTTCTTCAAGCTCCACATTAATGATCGATACATTCGTATGTTGCCTGATTGTGGCGCAACCGCCAACTGCTTCTCGCCGCATGACATTCGAAAGGCACGCTTGGGAATAAAGCAAGCAACTTTGCAGAATCCTTGTCGGACCCAAGTGGGCAACCAAGAGGTTGTCACATCTATGCATGCAGTCAAAGGTGTGTGCACTACCTTTGATGCAGACCACACAATCCCACATGAGTTGAACTTCTATGTCCTTGATAAGTGCCCCTTCGACGCGGTTATTGGCTTGGGCTGGTTGCAGGCCCAATGCGAAAGAACCATGCGGAAGGACTCACAATTCATGGTCAAAGATGCCACAGGGATTCGAGCATCCCGTCCTCTTGGATGAGCCGCACGAGTCCCGAGTGACTTTTTCCAACGCAATGAAATTTTGCAAGAAGTGGCGTAGGCACAAGCATGATGAGCAAATGTATATAGCCTTTGTTAGGCCTGCTCATGTGCCTTTTATTTTTGTTGTACATAACGGTTCTACTTTGCATGTTATTTCTACTTCCATGCAACTACTTCTACCGCTACTTCTACCTCTACTTCTACCTTTACGTCTACCTCTGCTTCTACCTTTACTTCTACCTCTACTTCTACCTTTACTTCTACCTCTACTGAATCTACTTCTAGTCCAAATTGTTCTACTTCAAATCCTGTTGTTTTGGTTGCACCTATGCAGTCCGATATGCAAGCACCAGATTCTGATTGTCCACCTCCGGAGATTCCATCAAAGATCCGCAGTCTTCTCAACCGATTCCCTAAATTTTTGGGCGAACCACGTGGAGTTCTCGTGCGTCCGTTCCAACACAAGATCGAGTTGATAGAAGGCAACACTCCTCCAAAAGGTTGTGTCTATCGAATGGGCTCAGGCAAAATGGGTGACTTGAGAAGACGAATCAATGACATGCTTGAAAAAGGATGGATCAAACCGAGCAAATTGGAATTCGGTGCAGCGGTTTTGTTTATCCCTAAGAAAGGAGGCAAATTACGGATGTGTATTAATCACCGCGGACTGAACAGAATAACAAAAACGAATGCAGACACTTTGCCACGCATTGATGATTTGCTTGATGCTGCAGGTGATTACAAGGTCTTCAGCAAGATCGACCTCAAGTCTGGTTACCACAAGATTGAAGTCGACCCTGCAGACCCGCATAAAACTGCGTTCAAAACTCGCAATGGGTTGTACGAATTTACCATCATGCCCTTCAGTCTCACGAATGCACCAGCCACCTTTCAAAGCCTCATGGACAAGGTGTTCTGCAGTGAGATCAATCGATTTGTTGTTATTTATTTGGATGGCATACTAATCTTCAACAAGTCGATGGAGGAGCACATGAGACACCTTGAGGAAGTGTTGCAAATCCTCAAGGATGCACAACTTCATCTCAACTTAGAGAAATTTGAGTTTGGGAGGGACAACGTCATCTACCTTGGACATTGGTTGTTCGCTGCAGGCCTAGAGCCCGAGGCAACCAAAGTTGAGGTCATCCGCAAATGGCCTCAACCAGCAAAGGCCCGAGAGTTGCGTTCTTTCCTTGGTCTCGCGTCATATTACCATAAGTTTGTGCTCACATTTTCTATCATCGCCCGTCCATTGTCCAAATTGACAAGCAAGAATGTGTCTTATACGTGGGATGGGGAATGCACGACCGCCTTCCAAGCATTGAAGGAGGCATTCGTGAGTCATCTGGTGCTCCGCATTGTAGATCCCAAATGCACATTCGTAGTAACTACGGATGCGAGCTTGCACGGGATCGACACAGTGCTTCAACAAGATGATGGTGACGACTTATATCCGCTTGAGTAATATAGCAAACGTATGCCCAGTCAGCAGGTAGCTACCTCCACCTACATGAGAGAACTCTTGCCTTGAGTAAGGCACTAACTTGTTGGAAACATTACCTCTTGGGTCGTCATTTCAAAGTGTTCTCAGACCATGAGACTTTGAAATGGATCAAAACACAAATTAATCCGTTAACTACATCGGCTCGCTGGCTGCATGAGATTGATGTGTATGATCTTGAACTCAAACACAAGAAAGGTTGTTACAATCACGTTGCGGATGCTTTGTCTTGCCACCCTGAGTACATGACTTGCCTTATGAGCTCCTACGACATCCGGAAGAAACTGAAGGAGAAACTAGTTGAGCAACTAGTTGAGCAAACTGCCAAGGGTAGAGAACTCAGTCCCATCCTTGAGCAGATCAAAGTTGACCCTAGCAGTCAGCCTGATTTCCACAAGTGTGAAGGTTTGCTTTTCCGACGCTATGGAAAGCATGACCGGTTGTGTGTACCCAATCATGAGCCTCTCCGCATTCACTTCTTGGACTTGGCTCATAGTCGGAGTGGATACTTCAGTTTTGAAAAAAACTAGGGAAGCCTGTTGGAAAAGTTTGTTTGGCCAGAAATGAAAGTACGGAAGCCTATTGGAAAAGTTTGTTTGGCCTGGGATGAAAGCAATGGCCCAAAAAATTGTGGTTGAATGTCAAGTATGTCAACGCATCAAACCATCTCGGCAAAGTCCTTTGGGCTGCTGCATCCTCTTCCTATCCCTGATGGCCCTGATGAGTTTGTCTCCATTGACTTCACAGACATGGGAAAGAGGAGCAAGAACGAATATTCGCAGGTGATGGTGATCATTGACTGCTTTTCAAAATTTCTGAATTTGATTTCGTTGCCACCTCACGCCCCAGTTGACCTTGTGATCAAGGAATTTAACAAGAGGTACATTCTGCAGTATGCCCCCCCGAAGACTCTTGTGAGTGACCAGGACACTAGGTTCATAAGTGCAGATTGGAAGGACTACACCTCCCAGATCTATGACATCAAACGCAAGATGACGTCTGGTCGACATCCCGAAGCCAATGGATTGGCTGAGGAGAGATCAACCAGACCGTGATCTAACTTCTTTGTGCCCTAATTGTTCTCGATTAGAACTTGGGGGATGAGGAATTACCGATTATGCAGGGGTTGTACAACGACTCCATACACTCCTCCATCGGGATGACACCTAATGGGTTGCACCTCAGGTGGCAGATTTGCAATCCCCTATCCTATTTGTTTCCTGATCTGACACCTGGCCAGCCTGGCTACAACGCTAAGTTTGATCGCTTGCTCAGTGTTGCAGTTGCAGCTGAACCTTTCACACAACCAGAAGTTATGTCTGGGTCAAAATGTCTGAGTTTATTAAAGAAGAAGGTGTGTCGTGAAAGCTTCTTCCTCAGTATTACGTTATTTGAAAGGTGCCAAACCACGGGGGGATGATTCATTCAGTCCTTATATGATCAACATGCCTTCTCATCTGCGCACGTACCCAGTCTTTCACGCATCAAAGTTGTTTCCGTATCGGTCACCCAAAACTTTTATGTATCGAGAATCGATGATCCCTTGTGCAATCAACGTCGGTCACAAGATTGATAGAATTGTCGAACATAGTGGAAAGGGGAAGAACAGGCAATACAAGGTTCATTTTTTGTATCACCCGTTATATGATTTTTATTGGATTTCTAGGAGAGACTTGTTGCAGAGTGCACGCCCAGTCGTCAAAGCATACGAACGACTGATTGTCTCCGAACAGCAACCGAAGTTTAATGCTTCCTTCACTCCTACTGAACATACCCGATCACCTTTGCCATCTATGTATATGATGCGTTGTGCAGGGACTTTGAGTGAGTTACTCGCTCAAAGGAACCTCGCTGTTGATGGGGGGGTAGTTTAATGACCCACCAAAACGCATACTGAAAACACTGCCGATTCCTGAGTTCTGCTGTTGGAATGGATGCCTTGCTGAGATTGCCGCATTCTACTGAGTTTTCTAAGTCTATGTTTGTGTGCGTGCTTGGTGACCTGCGTGCCTGCCTGAGTGCTTGTCGGCCTCAGTGTGTGTGACCCGCAAGGGTACTTACCTGTGTGGGCAGCCCGAAGGGCCGGTACTTACTTGTGGCATTGACATTGAGGGTTGCAGCAAGGGAAAACACTTAAGTGGCGGGGTAAGAGGACCACGACACTTAGAGCAGTGGAAAAACACTCAAGTAACAGGTAGGCCGGTACCACACCAAGTAGAAGTAGATGTGCCGGGTACTCGAGGCCAAGCAAAAGAAGACAAAAGTTGGCATTTTTAGAGGCGCAGTACTTGTAGGCTAGGTCTAGGCCAACCAGTCCGAGTCTAGGGCCTGTACGGGCAATATCAGAGTCTGCAACGATGTTTCCCTTTGAAAGGGAGGAAGTATCGGTTGCTTGGAGGCCATGCAGCCTAGGAAGTCACCGCCGAAGAGGGGAGTAGGCCGCTATATCTCCAGGAGGATCAAAGTGCTCCTCCTCGTTCTTCGGTGTGCAAGTTTGGCGACACACTGCCTGGAGCGTTGGTTGGAGCGCTGGACAGTACAACGCTGCTAGGAGGAAGGAGACCGGGAGCTCGCACCTCAGCTATGGTGAAGCTCTACCGGTAGGAAGAGGAGGAAGCAGAGGGCTAGGAGGGAGAGTGCCGAGGTACCTAACTGGCTATGGTGGGCACCATCTTCATCACCTTGTTAGGTGCTGCATCTGGAAGGCCCCAGTCGGGGTTGCACCGCACCAAGAGAGCTTCAAGGCAGAGTCAGGCATGGCGGCCTAAACAACAGCGAGTATAGCTGCTTTGTGTTGTCGTTTGCACAGTAGAGCGACGCCCTAGTAGTCCGCCATAGCCTTGTTGGACATAAAGAGGAGGAAGAGGGGCGGTCGTGGCTATGGTGGACCTCATGTTGTGCCTGCAGTAGAAGAGGGATTCAAACATTGATTCTGGTTCAGCCATTCAACAATATTATTATTATTACTTATTGTTTGAATATGAGGGGAGGAGAAAAGGAGGAGGAGAGTGGTTGGCGAAGAAGAAGGGAAATATCATTGGTCTTTCCTGGTGTACATCTTCTTGTTTTTCTTTCTGTAATCTTCTTCTTCTTCTTCTTTCCCTCTCTCTCTCCTCTAAAGTTCATTCATTTCTTTTGCAATTGGACGGCATTGTGCTTTCTCATGAATGTGTAATTCAAAATTTGCCAAGATCGTAACATCTTTTTCTTTGCAGTTTTTAATTTTTATTTTTTAAAATAGCAAAGTGCAAGGAAAATGAGCAATAGTGAGATGACAGAATCCAGATTGCACAATCATATTGAAAGCCAGAAAGTCCCACAGTGTCCAGAAAGCAGCATTGCACCAATATTACACCAATGGAGAATCGAAACACTGAAACCGAATGTCAATGAGAGCTTACTGTCATCATCACCAACATAAGTGTCCAGGTCCTTCCCCCTACTTGGCACTCTGCGCCCAGACTACTCTCACACAGCTACTATCTGCCTACGAATTGACAATGCAACTATTGATGTCAGCGGTCACAAAAGTACATGAAGATGTCGCCAATACCAGGTATGTGCCCTCACACCATCATCCTCATCTCTCCTTTTCACTCTCTCTCCTTTGTCTTTCACCCACGTCTTCTCCCTCATGCACGAAGACCACCACTACACCTTGCTGTAACACCAAGCCCCAACCAGCTATGGAAGCTAAGCTATGGCACTGCCATCAGCAGCGCCCTTCCTTCTGCACAACCACACGTACTCTGCACCTTGCTCTGCGCTAGCAGCAGCCTGCGAGCGTCCACTCCAGCAGCGCTGCCGCAAACTTGCAAGTGCCCGAATGCCTCACCAGGCAGCAAGCTCTTTCCTATATGGAAAGAGTCTGGCCTGGCCTGCGGTCTGGCTGGGCTGGGCCTGCGCCTAGAAGCTTCTGGTAGGCCCCAGGTAGCTGGGCCTTATTCGGTTATGCCTCCCAACTGTCTGTGTATATGGCTGCAGATGTGGCTCAGGGCCTGCTTTTCAGAAAAGGCCTAGAAGGTCGTGGAAAGTTTTCCTGCTCGTGGCCAGGGTTCCCTCAACCAACTGATGCAACACAACTGCCTGAACCCCAAATACGAAATTGATAGCAGGGCCTCTCGTGATTTGTCAGGCCCGCCTTTACTTACGGGGGGCACACTTAAAAAGGGGCCCCTTAGGCTCGCCGAGGAGCCAAATCCTCGCACTCCCTTCTCCTTTACTTCGATAGTCCCCTGAGAAGTCCTTTAATCTGCGGGTGTGGCGGACCCACCAGGTGTGGTGCTCCGCCTGGGATAGAGATGGAGATGGAGGATGAAGGGGGAGTGACATGGCACATCGCAGCTCCCACGCTAGACTCCAACACACGTACTCCACAATGTGCGAATGTATAATGATATAAAAAACAGACAACAACTGGGGTATACCCCAGCGGACTGATTGGACTGGACTGGACTGGACTGGTGGGTACTGACAGAGGTACCGGCCTGGACTGGACTACCCCGAATACAACACAGGCCTGTGAGAACAGGCCAAGGGGCCGGTCTCACAGGCCAACTAGAGGTCCGCTACACGATCCTCGGCCTGTGATGGATCGCCTAGATACAAGCACGCTTCCGCCAAGAAGCAGAACTCTACCAAAAAAAAGAAAACCCGAGTAGTCTAGGATGCGGAGCAAGCTCCATGCTGAGTCCATGCGATGCAACCTAGGATAGAAAATGTCACAAAAACAGCAATGTCACAGCTAACAGCCTAAGTGAAAGCAGAAGCAACTAACTAGCATACATGTCCTAGGAAAGCAGAAAGTAATGATAGCTAGATCCTAGAATGTTGGAGGTAGTAACCTCAGTCTGGAAACAACTGACTAGCGTACAAGTCCTAAGAATAGCAAAAGCAGAACAACTAAATCCTAGAAATGCTAGAGGCAGTAGCCTCAGTCTGAGAGCAACAAAGCAACAACAAGACAACCATATGTCACAGGAGGAGTGTGCCGCAAACCAAAGGGTGGAATGGTCTCTGAGGGTGGCGAATGCAGCCTAGGGGTCGATAACTCCTAAGGGCATCCACACAAAATGACAAGGAGACACATGTCATTAGGCTCAATGAGGGTAGGGAACTGGGAGCGAACATAACCAATGACCCTAACCGATATACCATCAAGGCGGGTAATGCTCGACTAAAGGGGTGACCGCTATGGAGGGTCGACCATGCAAGGGAACAAGGGAGCCTAGTATACTGGGCGCACCTAGATGAAGCATGCGAGGCTGCCTAATAAGGGCGTGAGGGCCGACAGTGGGTAGAAAAAGTGATGGGTAAGGGAATCATGCAAATGACTCCTAAGGTGGGGGAAGTCGGAGCTGGATCCGTAAGCTGGGAAGCCAAAACAACGTTACGGTCCCGATGCCTATGCGTATACCAAGGGAGAGCCCAACTCAGAGGAACCCGGCAAAGGGAGACCATCATGCGACACAACCAGGGTACTGTACATGGTAAGGTGGTAAGAGAGCGATGATGTCTGAAGTAGGCAGAGCTGATCGTGACGAAGTCCATGAAGCTGCCGATGACGTCCATGATGAAAAGTCCGGAATGCCGTCGAGGAAGAGCAGCAACGTCGACGAGCTGAAGTGGCAAAACTGGAGTGGATGGAGTACTGAGAAGTCAAAGACATGGGAAGATAAGTCAGAGTCAATTGTCGTATCGAGCAGGATGACGACGAGTGCGCTGTGGACGCTCAAAAGCATCCGACAGATGTTGAAGGTCTACCTCGGATGGAGCAGGCTCGACTTCAGCGGTCTCCTCAGTCGAGGGAGGAGGAGGGTCAGTGGGCTAAGGAGGAGCAGTCAACCCAGCACGACAAGCACGGTCATAGGCACACACCAACATGCGAGCGTGTTGCAAGTGCTCAAGGGGCTCCCAAGTAACCTCCTCATCAGGGTAACCCTTCCAATGTACGAGATACTCGACGTGAGGAGGGTTGTCGTCGGTGACTTGACGACCAGTGATGTCTGAAACGAGGGACTCCTTGTGGTCGTCCACCATGATGGGTGGACGACGCTCGTATGGTCGTCCGACGAAACGCTCAGATGGTCGACAATAGGGACGCAGTAACAAGACGTGGTAGACATCGTGCACACGACCCTGACGTAGGTAGTCGGGCAGCTTCACACGGAAGTTGACCGGGCTAGAAGCCGTATTAGAACCGACGGCCTGGAGAATGCGGCATGGGCCAAAGAAGCGACGCCGAAACTTGCGAAGCGTGTTCTCTTTGAGCTGTAAGTGGCGAGCGTCGATAAGCACATCATCACCGTCTTGAATGGATGATCCATCCTCGATCGGTTCGCATGTGCTGCCATGCGAGTCTGGGAAGCGGTTATGTGCTCATGCGCGGTCTTCATGATCGACGTCATGTGTGCAACCCAGTCATCCAACGCGGGACAACTCGTGTCGGGGTGCATCTGTGACGGTCGAAGGAAGTCCGCGGGAACATGAGGGTGATAGTCGAGGTGGCAATAGTAAGGCGACATCCCCGTGGCTAGCGAGACGGCGCGGTTGTAGGCTATCTCTGCAAGGGCAAGATGGAGATCCCACTGCTGGTTGTCATGAGCAATCTTTCGGAGAATATCTCCGAGAGTCTTGTTCGTGACCTCAGTCTGACCATCAGTCTGGGGATTGTAAGACGAGGAGAAGCGGAGCTGGGTGCCGTAAACCTCGTGGAGCCGTCGCCAGAATCGGCTGGTAAAGCGGGGGTCACGGTTAGATATGATGCTCAAAGATAAGTCGTAGTCACGCAGGACTCGGTCAAACACGATATCGGCGACCTCACGTGCACTGATGGCATAGCGGCACGGAACAAAGCGTGCGCGCTTCATGAAGCGGTCGACGACGACCAGGATAGCATCATGACCGCGGGGGGTCGGAGGACGAAGAGGACCGATAAAGTCCATCGAGATGGACTGCCAACGACCCTTAGGGATAGGAAGAGGTTGGAGCAAACCATAAGGCAGGTGGTTCGCATTGTTCACCTCCTGACAGTTGGGACACTCTGCGACGTAGTCCTTCACAAAGTCCTTGCGCTTCGGCCACACGTACAGGCGGCTCACACGAGCCAACGTCTTGTGGAAGCCCATATCATCGGCGGCTGCCTGGTAATGGAACTCTGTTACTGCCCGGACACGTAGTTGTCCAGTGGAGGGAACCGTGGTGCCTTGTAAACTGTGCCAGTACACAAGACCGTTGTCGCTAAGAGAGTAGTTCGGGGCGGTCTTGCGAGTCTGAAGGGTCGCATGGATGTCGCGATAGTCAGGGCAGTGGCGGTACTGAGTGCGAAACTCGTCGATCACCGAGTGGCAGACGGTGGTGCCTGAGATGGCAGCGAGCCGGAGCTGCTCTTAATCATGGTCAGGGCGTCGGGATAAGGCATCTGCGACCCGATTAGTCTCACCCTTGATGTGCTCAGTGGTGAAACTAAACTCGGATAGGTCGCGCCACCAGCGAGCCTGTCGAGGAGTGAACTTCGACTTCGTCAGAAAAGCCTGGACAAGGTGCATTTTTGGCGTATCGTGTTAACTTTTGCAGAGCGGCATAAACTAGTGCGAGAACCTCACGTTCATCAGCGGTGTAGTTTATCTCGGCGGGTAGGAGTTTACGAAAGTAGAAGGCTATCAGACAATCACCCGAGCGAGACTCAACAGTGCAGTTGTCGGCGATGGTAGGAGAATAGTCAATAGAAGGTTCGTCAGTAGCTGGACGAGTAGGCGTCAGGCGGGAAGCAGTGGTGGGGGTAGGGGGTGAGAAGCAAGGGATGCGAGGATAAGAGGAATCAGGAGAGGAGGGGAAAATATGAGAAAGCACTGCTCCTACAGCAAAGTCTGACGCAATGGTGGTAAGGATAAAAGGGCGATCGAAATCAGGTAGGTGAAAAACCGGTGCAAATGTCACTGCCTTCTTGAGGGCGAGGAAGGCGTTCTCGTGGAGGGGTGTCCAAGCCCATGGCGGGTTCTTCCGGAGGAGGGTGGAGGTAAGGACGTAGGAATACCTAGCGTATCCCTGGATGAAATTACTATAGTAGCTAGTGAGTCCTAGGAAGCTGCGAAGCTGCTTAGCGGATGTGGGGATGGACCACTCCGCAATAGCAGTGATCTTCGCGTCGTCCATGTAGAGACCCTGGTCAGACACGTAGTGTCCTAAGAAATCACTTTTCGCTCGGCAAAGCGGCACTTGCTCAGCTTGGCGTAGAAGCCATGTCTGTGCAAGCGGTCATGGACGTCGTGGAGGTGTCTGAGATGCTCCTCAAGGGTACGATTGTAGATCAGGAAATCGTCGAGGTAGTCGAGAACGTACTGCTCCAGGATGTCCTTGAAGATGTCGTTCATCGCCCTCTGGAAGGTAGCGGGTGCGTTGGTGAGGCCGAATGGCATCACCATAAACTCGTAGTGGCCGAAGCGATCGGAACGCTGTCTTCGGCCGGTCTGCTACAGCGACGCGAATTTGATGGTAACCGCTACGAAGATCAATCCTCGTAAAAAAGCGGTTGCCTGCTAGGCAGTCGAACAACTCATCGGAACGAGGCATGCGATAGTTGTTCTTAACCGTGTAGCGGTTGAGACCGCGATAGTCGATGCAGAGACGGAGAGTTCCATCCGCTTTGCGAGCAAAGAGGACGGGTGCACCCCACGGGAGTTGCTGGGTTTAATGAAACCAAGTCTCAGGAGCTCCTCAAGCTCACGCTTGAGTTTGGTGGCCTTGGGGATCGAGAGTCTGTAGGGTGCCTGGTGGTGAACATGATAGTCAGGCACAAGCTGGATGGAGTGCTCGACGTCACGCATCAATGGGATGTCGGCATACGAGAACGACTATGGGAAACATCGTGGTACTTTCGAATGAGGTCACGAACTGCGGGCTCCACGTCGGCCGTATAGCATGCGAGTTCCTCAGCGTCAATGTCAGCGCGCGCCGGCGGGGTGGACTCGACAGACGGCGGATGGAGGGAAGTAGAGTTGGGAGCCATGGAGATAGGAGGAGGATCTGGCTCCAGAGAGATGAGCTCGACGTCGGGACAAGGTGGATTATAGTGCAAGAGATTCGTAATGTTCACAGTAAAGAAGGTGACGCCATCCTGTCGGATGAAGTGAGCGAACTACCGAGGCGAGGTGACGGTGATAGTAGGAGATGGTGTGGGCACGGAAGGCTCCCTGGGAGGGGGGTCGGGGCGTGGTGTCGCGGTGGTACCTATGAAAGGTACGCGATACGTCTGTCCACACTTCGTCTTAAGAACGAGAGTGTTGGTCACCCGATCGGCCTCGGTGCTGCAGAACCGACGAGACCACGGAGCACCGAGAATGAAATCGTACCCCGTCTCCATCACATCGAAATGTGCAGAGGAGCGATGACGACGAAACGCCGGAGGATGATCAGTCGGCTCGAGAGTGAGGAAGAAGGGGAGGTCGGTGACCATCTGATCGAAGAAGCGTTGGGTCTTGTCATCCCCTAGGGTGACGGAGATGGGAGTCGGAGACCCTGTCGTGGGTAAGCGGGCTTCTTTCACCACATGTGGGTGAATGAAGTCGCCCTGAAAACCGGAATCCCACAACGCTGAGTACACCCTCGTGGAGGTCCCCAGTCGTACTGGAATGATCAGGAGGGTGCGATCAGGGTTAGAGAGGATGGTGAGAAGGCGACGCAGTACAGCGACATGGAGGGTGAGTCGCTCCTGACGAGCCTGGAGCATGCTCAAGTCCAGAAGAGAGGACACAACGTCCTCGCGAGTCGCAAGCTGCTCGCTGCAACAAGTTGAGCGAATGGCTTGACGCGTCGATAGTCACGGAGGGGTAGGAGGGGAGACGGTGGTCTGCGGAAGCACAGACGGTAAGTTATATAAATCATAAATGGATTGGAGGTTTTTTAACCAACTGGAAGCACATTTTTCATGTACAAGCGCATTTTCAACACTTCATTTTTTTATAACGCGGCACCTTGCGAATATGTTGTGCTGTATCTAAAGCTTTGAGTGATAAGTTTTCAAAGTGTTGAAAATGCGCTTGTACATGAAAAATGTGCTTTCAATTGGTTAAAAAACCTCCAATCCATTTATGATTTATATAACTTTGACATGTTTCTTTTGCCATTTTCTGGGCTAAGTACACTTTGTCGGGTCGTGCAATACCTCAACTCCAATAGCGAGAGGGGCCGACGGAGATGTCGGGAAGCCAATTACTGAGGAGGGCGCAGGTGTACACAGCATCGTGGCTAGGAGGCGCCGCGGGGATGCGAGGCGCCAGGGGGGTGAGCACGACGCTGGCGGGAAAGGTCAGCGTAGTGGCGGTCGAGGGCGGCGGTGTAAGGGCACCGCGAGGAGGTATGACCGTCTTCGCGGCATCGCAAACACCCACGCCGACCCAAAGTGGCTGCACGCTCCTCGGCGGAAAAGACACCGCAAGGAGGGACAAAGCCCTGAGGGAGGTCCTGGTGAGGGACTTCGGGGGGCGACGCGCCAGCATGACCAGGGCGGCTGCGTGCCCGAGAGAGGGTGGAGAGGGCGAGTTGGAGGCGCTCGGCTATAGGGAGGGTAGAGTCCTCCAGGTGGTAGTGGACGGCCTCGTAGAGGTCGAGGTCGTCGCTATGGTCACCCTCAGGCGACAACTGGGCAACAACGTCCTGCTCACCATACTCGGGCGCGAGAAGTGGCGGCCCTGCTGCGCGGAACAGCGGGGGCGGCTGTGGAAAAGGGAACGACACTGGGAAGTGTTGTGAGAGGAGGAGGGTGTAGCCAGTACGCTGAGGCTGGGAGGAGGGAGCGGGGTGAAGACGGGCCCGCATCCGCTGATGGGTCCTAGCGGCCTCGTAAGCCTGCTGGGCTGATGTGAACTCGTACCTCTATAACTCAGAACAGTACTCAAGGGGAAGGCTGGCCAAGAAACGGTCGATGGGCAGCCTCCGGGAGGAACGCCCCATCACAAATGAGGCGGGCGTCCTGAAAGACCTGGATGTGGCGGTCCAGGCCGACTGCGCCACCGGAGTCGGACCAGCGTGTGCTCACGACACGCTCAAAGGCGTCAGTGACGTCATATCGGGCTCCGAATCAATCCTCGAGGAATGCCTGAAAATCCATGAAGGTCGGGGTCCGACCCTCATGAAGGGAGTGCGTGTAGAAATCCTCCCAAGCGTCGAAAGGACCGCCACGCAGGCGCGTGGAGAGGTGAGCCACCCACGTGTTGGGTGGGGCGCCCATGAGCTGGAGCATGGGGGTGGCAAACTGCAGCCACCGAGACACGCGTATCCCTGTACCGTCATACAAGGCAATGTCCGTCAGGCAGACGAGTGGTGCGCCACTGTTTTGGCGACGAGGGGATCGAGGAGCAGAGGTCTGTGCTACTGCTGAATAAGTCGGCGCAGGTCCTGGTGAAAGGGGCGCAGCTGACTGTACGTCCGGGTCGCATGGGGAAGCGGCGGGGGCAACAATGGCAGGCTGCGATGGAGCTGCGGTAGAAGAGGTCGCAAGACTCGCAACAACCGAGGGAATAGGAAGAATGTAGGATGGGTGTGGGTAGGGTGCAGGGCGAGGGAAGCGAGCCTGTGTGGAAGGAAGTGTAGAGGAAGAAGGGTTTGCGCCCGAAGGCGCGACCACCTGTGAGGATAGGGGTGGCTGAAGGCGTAAGAGGGCGAGGTCGGCCCAGGTCTGGGCAAACTCGTCCTTAAGACGTCGAACGTAGATTCAGCGAGGGGTGGAAGGAGTAGACGAACGAGCGGCATGTGGCATCCCACAAGGGGGAGAGCCAAGTGGCGCTGCGGTCGTGCGAAGGGGAGAGAGAAGTGGGGCACCCAGAAAAGTTGAGACCACAGCAGCGGGTCGTGGTCCCGTGGCCGTAGTGACCGAAATCTGGATGGGTGCGCCCGTAGAGTAAGGGAAGGCCTGATCCGTGGCGGCCGTCACGCTAGAGGCGTGGACGGTCACCAGGATGGTTGGGTCGGGGGCAGCGGAGGAGGAAGCTCCACCGTGGCCACCATGTCGGAGGACGGGGGACTCGGACTGGGAGCCAGGAGAAAAGAGAGAGTTGGGGGAGGAAGGACAGGCAGCGTCCTGAAGTTGCCGCATGCCAACGACAGGAATCGCCACCTGCGTCTGTAAGGCCGCAAGGGTCGCCAGTTGCGCCTGGATGGGCGCGAGGAGGGAGGTAAGGAGGGTGTGCAGATCCCCCTAAGGGTGATGGCCCGTGTCCGCAGGCGCGGGTGTGGAGCCCGATGCCGAGGCCGTCGCCGCCTCGGTGGCTTATGATAGGCCATCGGCCATGGGGAGGTAATGGGCCGGACTAGAGAGGGTCGGAGGAGGTCCGCGTGAGCGGAGGGCGTAGGGGGAGATCTGCAATAGAAGGCGACGGGCGGCGCTAGTAAATCGAGCGCTGACGCCGTCAAAAGGGGAGGGGTGGTTCGAATCCAAGGTGCCCGAATGAGAAGGGAAAGTAGGGGGGTTAGGAGAACCCTAAACCCTAGAAAAACCCTAAGAAAACCCTAACCGGAGTTTGAGTGGTTAGGGTAGGGTACCGGTGACCTAATCAAGAAAATGAAATAGCAAGAATGGGGGGAGGCGAAAGGAAAAATAAATAAACAGTGAAATTTCGAGAGAAAAAATAAAATAAATAAATAAAGAATAAAAATAATTAAAGAAATAAGGAAACAAAATGTGAAGAGAGAAATAATATTTATTTTTTTCGAAGTTTCGGTAGCATTTCCCTACCCCTCATGGGGTCAAGAATATGCCAAGGGAAGGGAGAGACCAAGATAAGCACACTACGTTTCAAAATGTCACAAATTAAAAAAATTCAGTTAATAAATAAAAAAATAATAAAGAGAAATAAATAAATAAATAAATAAATACGTAGATGAGGAGGTAAAGAGAAATGAAGTGTCGGATTTTTCAAAAATTTCGGCAGCATTTCATTACCCCCATGGGGTCGAAGTGTGCCATCAAGAAGAAAGGCTAAGTAAAATGAGAAGATTTCGGCAGCACTTCGTTCCCCAACGGGGTCAAAATGTGTGCTGAAAGCAAGATGACTAACTCCTAGTCAGATTTAAGGGTGCCGCAAAGAAATTCAAATTTTTAGAATAAAAAAAAAAAAAATGAAATAAATCAGAAAATGGAAAAAGAAGGTGGGGAATGAGATAATTCGAATTTTTGGAAAAAGGAGGAAATATAAATCAAAAGAAAGATAAAAAGAAGAAAAACAGAAAATTTCGAAGTTGGGGGAAAGGGGAATGAAAAAGTGAAGGAGAAAGGGGAGAAATAGGTGAGAGAGAGAAAAAGAGTGAAGGGGGAGATGGGGGAAGTAATGGGGTTATAGTTGGGGGAGAGGAGGGTGAGAGAATAGGAGAGAAAGGGATGGGAAAGGTGGGGAGGGATCAAAAAGCAAAGAGAAAAGAGGAGAAAGAAAAGAAAATGAATG